ATATTATACAAAGATAACCTGAGGAAATACTAAATGCAGTTTTTAAATGATGATTTCATTCATTAAGGGAGAAAAGGTTTCCAAAACTACCTGGTCCTATTGCGAATTAACTGTGATTAACCTTTTTTTTTTTTTTTTTTTTTTTGAAAATCTGAGTTCAGTTTCACTAAATACATTCAGGGATGATTACTGGCAGACCTGCTGAATTGAGGAATCACTTACATAGAACCTGTCTGACAAAGCAAAGCAGCATAATAGATCTCTAAAAGCAACACATCATGCCACAATCTAAAGAAACACACGAGAAACAAAATCACAGACATCTACCGGTGTGGAAAGCTATTTCTAAGCCTTCGAGCTCCAGTGGATCACAGTGAGAGCCATTACACACAAATGGAGAAAACTTGGAACAGTGGCGAAGCTTTCCAGGAAAGACTGGACTACCAAAATTCCTACAAAAGCACATCGACGACTTATCCAGGAGTAGGGATGGCTACCGGTATCCGGTGCCATACCGGTGCCATAGCGTTTTTTAAAAGCCGAGAAATGCACCGAGTTAGCAACATCCCCAAAGAACCCGAAGAGTAGAGTCCTGGCCCCTAGCCCTGCCAGTGTAGCAGAAATGATGACGGGTGATGATGGCAGCAGCAGCCGTTCTTCTCTGCGTGAGTGGCTTAATGTTGTCCGTGTGTAATTTACGTTGAGTAGGCTAACCACGTTATTAAATTAATGCATGTAAGGTGAACTAGCAAACACCGTCGTAGTTACATGCGGCTGTCTTCTTGTTTGATGGCAGATACTCCCTTCGCCCTGGCCAAAAATGCTAAAATGACCAAAGAAAAAGTGGAAAACACATAAACATGAGAGGTTTTTGGACAAAGTTTGTGTTTTTTCCATTGTTTAAGCACTGCTTTCAGCCAAGAGTGATACCATATATGCCCTATAGCTGCAGAAAAGGCTAACATTGTTATCTTTTTACAAAAAAACAGCTGAACATGAGAGGTTTTTGGACCAATTTTGTGTTCTCCATTCTTTAAGCACCGGTTCGAGCACCGTTTAAGCACTGACACCATTTCAAAAGAACTGGTTTGGTACCGGTATCGGTTAAAACCTAAACGATACCCATCCCTATCCAGGAGGTCACAAAAGAAAGTAAAACAACATTAATGAACCGTAGGGTTCACATGTTTCAGTTAAGGCCAGAGTTCAGGACACTCTGCAAAAATGGTATCCATTGAAGAGAACATAAAGGCTTGTCTCAGATTTGCCAAAAAACATCTTCATTAACGTGGCTGAATTACAACGATTCTGCAAAGATGAGTGGGCAAAAATTCCTCCACAAGCACTGTAAAAGACTCATTGGCAGTTATCGAAAAGGCTTGATTGCAGTTGTTGCTGCTTAGGGTGGCAAACCAGTTATTAGGTTTAGGGGCCAATCATTTTTTTCACACAGGGACATGTAGGCTTGGATTTTTTTTACCCTTAATAAACAGCTTCATTTAGAAACTGCAGTTTGTGTTTACCTGTGTTATCATTGACTAATATTTAATTTTCTTTGATGATGTGAAACATTTAAGGGTGAAAAACATACAGAAAATAAAGAAATCAGTATTATAGTATTAATCAGTATTAATAACCTTGCTACCTTAGTACCCATACATATTAAAATGAGATTTGTGAAACTGTAAACTATTTATGTTTCAGAAGTGGAAACGTCAAATCTATAATTGATCTCTCTATCATTTTAGCATTGATACATGATGGACTACTACTCCATATAACTTCCTGAAATGATAAAAGAAAGACTGCACACTGAATTTCTTTAAAAACAAAAACAAAAAAAATATCCATCTAATTAAATAAAGAAAGTAGGAACGCATTATGCCAAGCGGTCGCACTCTTTGATGAAACCTTTACAAGTGTGCAGTAGAGTGCAATTACCCCTCTGTGGAGACATTAGCCTTATCAGTGCCATCCATGTCTTCTCTCTGCTTTTTCTAAGAATGTCTGGGTCACTTGTTTCCTCTGCAGTGTCTGCTGCTGCTGCAGGCTGTGGTGGCTTCTAATGAATTCTGAGCCACTTTTTCTTCTATGGTTTGCCATTTTATTTTCTTAACCAAGAATTATTTGCCCGCCTGGATGAAATTTCCTTCCTAGAGCTGATGCTATGTGTTTATTAGTTGATAAATGATTACATAATATTAGTCTCCTTCAGTTTTTGAGTTGGTTGAGGGTTATGTAGTTCAAATTTGCAAAATCCAACTTTTTAAACACATGAACCTGCTGTAATGTACAGTTTTGTGCTCATTGTGGATTATGACTGTGCTGCTGTGCTTGGATGTTGAATTCAGGATTCATGATCCAGAGTATGGGCACAACTTTACATTCTTCTATTTAAAGAGGTCAGAATTCCAGCAACGTTTACTATGTAGATCAACTTCATTGGCTGGGGACTTTTACTATCAAAAGAGCCATTTTTAGGTAAATGTAAAACACCCAAAATCTTATTTATTTAGCCTATTATGTATAATTGAGGTAAATCTTTTTGCGTATTTTGTTGTTGTTGTTAATAGTTATGATAATACAGTACTTTAACTTGGCATTTTGATTATAATAGCACCGTGTTTCTGCCATTTGGCAGTGGCACAAAGTTGTTGTTTTTGTGCCCTTTGCTGCTTCAGTTTTATTTAGATCTTTTTTTTTATGTTTATATAACATAGTGAAGAACAATCACAACCACAATTCACAAGTTTCACAAACATTTTATCGCAAATAAATAAAAATTGCCAATAAAAGTGCCCAAAAGTGTAGAACTGCAATAACTAAAATTGTTATCACTCACTTATTTTTTTAACCACCAGAATGGAATAATTGTGAAGTGAAGGAAGAAATGTCTGGCAGAGCAGCTATAACCTGTGTTTTGCAAATTAAAAGAATCCTGCTCTGATATATAAAAAAACAGCAGCCAGCGAAAGTGAAAGTAACCAGACGTTTCATAATATTTTACTTAATTTTAATTTTAGTTTGATTTAAGTCCAGCAGCACATGAACATGCTAGTGTACCAGCAAATATGGTGAAAGCCAACAAATGTGTCTATTGTTAAATTCTCTATTCCCCTCCACAACTTTTTTTTCCCCTCAATTTTTAGTCCATAGCCGGTGGGACTCAGGACTAGACATTTAAGTGCATACATTCATGCTAACCACCAAAATTGAGATTCTGCATAACTGATAAAATATATACACGTATACATCAAAAAGCACCAATCCCATATGTAACCATCATCACCATATACAACAGTTCCCTTATTTAGCTAGGGAAAACAACTGGCCTGAACTTACATGACTTATGTCTAATGTACAGTGCTGTGAAAAAGTCTCGAGCCACCTATCATTTCTTTATATTTTGCCTCAAAGGAGCGATGCTTGGTTGAAATTGCAATTGTTCTGCATGCTTTCCGAGGTTTTCCTTTCATCATTAGCTGCTTTTTAACTTATTTCCACTTCAGTTCTCGTGCCTGATCATTCCCAGAGGAATCTTTCTTTGTCCGTTTGTTTATTTGTAAAGCCAATTAACACTGACATATAAATCATTCAAGCATAAAAAAATGCATCTAACTTAAGGAATGAACCTGTGTTGTGTCCACTCATAACAGCCGACTTAGCAAATATACATTTTTAAATTTTATCTCTATGCACTTTTTACCAGGAGCCTGTCAAAAAGAACACCCGCTTTCTTTGGTTGAATCGACAAAAATGCCAAAGATAACAGTTTGGCAGGCACAAAATAGGAGTTTTGCACAAATAATGTGATTCCCAAAGGTCTGTTAGCCAAATACCTGGCATATCTGGGCATGGTGTGCAGTGTGTCCTTTTAAAAAACGAGGAAACTGGACAAGAGGCTGACAAAAGAAGAAGTGGCAGGCCTAAAAATGATCTACAGCAGATAAACAGCATCTAAAGGTCATGTACTTAAGGAAACACTCCAACGACCTTATATAGGACCTGAGAGAGGCATCTGGCCCTTTACTTGTTCCATTTACTGTTCACTGAAATGATCTTGATGCATGGCTGTCGAGAAGCCATTCTTAAGGAAGAGAAACCAGGAAAAAAAGGTGTATTATGCCAAATTACACAAGACCTGGACAGAATATCGGTGGTAGAATTATGCACAGTACTGTATCCTTGTACACCGTAAAACAATGTTCATAGTTACTGCTTACTAAGTTAAATATTTTGAGCTTTGTCACTTCTGACATTTTCTACCTTTCCTTGATTTGATTTGCTCCACTTTAAAGTGGAGCACTTCTACTCCTTCAACATCAGTATACAGTATGTGTCTGACGTCACGATGTAAGTGCATGTGGAGAGGGATAATAGGAAAGCAATCAATCAATCAGCGTAAGCCCTGTTAGGCTATTGAGAGTATTATGCATGCAGTCGTAGATTGTATTTATTATTATTGCTGTATGTGATTGTTTCTGGAAAGTATTGGTTTTCGAGGAATGTCTAACTAACTCAAAATTTAAAGTTTATCAGCCGGCTTCAAACCAATCACTTTAAAATGTTATTTGTGATATTACTAAAATGAATATGCACAAGCACAATCACATTTAGCTATCAATAAAGTTCTGCTGGATTTCTTTAGAATTCAGGATCCTTGACACCAAAACAGATTATAATTTCTACTCTGCAGTTTGTCACAGGAATCTGTCACAGTGAACATGGCAGGCAGATTTTTCCTCTGTAATGTGTGATGCATTTATTTTAAGCTATAATTCCCCACTGCCTCTCAGCCTATGTCAGATACGAGTGTGAACAAAAGACTCGAGCCAGTAGAGAGATTATTAAGACGTATTTTAGATCATAAATCATCCTGTCAGGAACTCAAAAGACTATAATGTGTATATGAAGTACTGTATATATAAAGTAGAAGATGGTGACAATGATGATTAGGGTGTGACTGGAAATGAATAAATACATCATTGATAAAGACGCACCTTTTGGAGCTGAAGGCTGTATTGAAGTCTGGGGGTAGATTTGGACATGAGGCCGGAGGCATTGACGGTACAGTCTCTGAGACTGCGGCTGTCGGAGAAATGAGCCTGGAGTTTCTCCCTGTGTCTCCTGTGGAGGAAATGTGCCGGTGAAAAAGGGAGAACAAATGTAAGTCTACAACAAAACTAAAGAAATAATCCAGAACAATGGATAGACTGATGACAATACAGCATGCAATTAGGAAAACAAAGGGATTTCTATGAGGCAGAAAAAACCTCCCTACAATAGCTGCATTTGCTCTGCTGAGGATTCATTCTTCTTTTTCGTCGTTACACAGTTTAATAACGGTTTCTTTTTAGGTCATATTCTTCACACGCATCTAATGGCAACGTTGTTACATTTATTGACTTGTTACCATTTATTTCTGAGACTCACTTACAGATCACACATAGTAGAGAAGATAGGCCCTGTCAATGAATTTCACATCTACTCACTGAAGACACACACACACATATGTGCGAATTGTGACGATGAACTAATATATGCATTTTTTGTTATGCAGCGATAAAACATCCTTTGACAGTTTGAGGTTTTGAAAACGGTGAAATTTAACATTTCTGGAACAAACCATAGCTGAAAGTGACATTCAGCGTTCAACTGTGATTACTTTTCCGAGGTGAAACTTAAGGTGGTAAATGTGCGCCACAAAAATAGCTTTAAAATGAACAAAAAATGCATGAAAATAAAATTTAAAACTACATGAATTTAATCAAGGAAAGTTAAAGTAAAAGCGATAAATACAAAGGTTTTATTGATTTACTATGAAAGCCAAAGTTTGGATTCTCTCATCTTTGCGGGGAGAGAGGGAGAATTCACATGCAGTGATATCCATACATACAGCAAGAAGCCTTAAGTTATAGCAGTGGGAACAGATATAACCTAAGGAATTGAAGTAAAGTCAAGTTTGCTGACATGAGCAGACATTCCACTTTTCTTAAACTACTTAATTTTAGTTGTTCTGCCACATTTTTACCTACTCTGTCTTTTCCCTTTACCACACATACACACAAAAAATGAAACAGCAAAACGTGACAAAAAAAAAGTCAAATTCTTCTGCTATGATAAATCTTTTTAAAAAAAGGAAAAAAGATGATACCGTTCTTTCATTTCGGATTAAAATTTGATTGGATTAATATTTAATTGCTGCCTAAAACTTTTGGATTAAATTTTAATTCACCATTAAATGTTCATTTTTAAATTCTAGAATGCAAAATTCTGTCTGCAGCTGAGACTCATTAAGTGTTTCCTGCATAAAGGATGATGGCGAGAAGTAAAAAAAAAACTTTTTAAAAATGTGGAAAGCAACAAATCATTGCATTGGTTTATAGGGTTAACAAACTATAATCCAACCACCTAATGGCTTGGAGGGATTAAAACGTGCTGCAGGAACCCACTCTAATAAATAATAATAATGAAGTTATACCACCTAAAAGCAACCTTTCTGAAAACTTTACTTATCTTTTCTGAGAAGTACTGATACAAACAAAATTTCGCATTTTTTCTTGAGAGGAAAAACAACCACGGAGTTTGAAAAGCTATTTATCCACGGTAGCCTGGCGCACAGCTATTTTTTTTTTGAAGGAAAGAGACTTATTATCACAGGACTTGTGATTTTGGATAATTTTCAGTACATTAATTCTATCTGTGAGCCAAGACTATCTGTTCATGTTGACCAATATGTGCTGCACTGCTCAGGGCACTACACTACTCAAAAATAAAACCACCTTTTTTGTTTTTGTTTAGCAAGCTTAATTTAGCCAGCACAGCATTCATTCACTCCTACTGAATGAATGTACATACACACACTCTTCCAGTTCTTTCCCTCTGCTTTCTTTTTCCTTCTTCTTTGGTGCCATGCATAATTGACTTTGGTGGTCTGCTTCTGAGCCACCAGGAAACCCTCTTATCTTGTCACACACATGTACACGTGCACTTAGGGTCTACTGTACTTGAACTTGGTCTGTCTCTTGCCATATCTGAGTATTTTGTTTTGTGTGAAGCATTTTGTGACACACCTGCTTGCTAAAACCACTTTCAAATAAATCTTACATGAGTATCTGTCCCAAATGCATCCTACACTATTTAGATTTGTTGCCTTGCTAAAACATCCTCTAGCTGACTCACACTTAGAATTTCATTGGGCTCCATGCCATGATAGTAAAGTGCTCTTTCTGCACAGCCGGGGGCATACGCTACTAATGTGGTTCTCGCTGGCATCACTCACTTGTTGTGGCGGTAGAGAGCCATACATGCCACTCCAAGAAGACAGATCCCCGAGGCAATGCTGAAGATGGACAGCACCTGCCTCTGGTAGGTGTCACCACTCTCTGTGGAGGAGAGAATACAGTTCAGTCCAATGAATTTCTGCTGTGACATAAACGATATGGACTATGGTTGCGATTGAGCTGAGAGGAAGAGATGGATCATGATGAATTAACATACCAAATACACATAAAGGGTGGAATGACATACACTCGAAACCGCGCGCAGACATCTGCCCACAATCTGCATTTGCATAAAGCGACCAATGCTGCTGTCAGTAAATGTCACTGTTTGAGGAAGAGATAGGGACATGGCAGACACAGGCAGGGCTCAGTGACGTGCTAACTGAAGTGTGATAATCATTTCGTTCAGACAAACCCAGCAGGGACCGATGGACTGTCTGCACAGCAGGACCAGCACTTGGTGTGTACGTGCATGCAAGGGTTGCATATGTGTCAGCATTCAGAGACTGATGGCGACAGGAAATTAGCAGCAAATGAATGCTCCCGGAGTTTCTTGTCAGACCCCTGCACGTCAGCGGCAGAGGCTTAAGGTCACAAGCAGCTGGGACAAGTTGTAGTTGATCCCAGCAAATATCTGTCTCACTGAGCAACTGGATTGTGGCGCTGAAATACTTAGCACGGTGCACGGTGTGGAGTTCAAGGGCACGCACCCACTGGCTTACCAGAAACTCTCATGACGATACTAACTCATGATCAAAATGAGCACAATCCATAACCAGCAACTCATATCACTAATCCACAAAAGTCGCTGAGAGTTTGAGACACTTCTCTGATCCACCAGCATCCATGACCTTACGGGCAACGTCCTGTGGCATTACTTGATCACTCAAAAACAACAAATCCCCCTGTGTCTGATTTTACTACCTTGACAACTGCAGGGGAAAGTGCAGAGAACATCACCGCAACCTGCTCCTGACCTTTAAGGGCTTGTCTGTGGCTTTTGATGTTGTCAACAGAGAACTGTCCTGGGAGGTCTTCTTGAGCCGTGCTTGTCGGTCCAGGTTTATCAACTTCCCTCAACTCTTGTTTTTGAGGGCAGATACTGCTGGAGAGCGTTTTTGTTCAAAGCTAACGTTTGAGTGCAACCATGCGTTCTGTTTTGCACCGTTTTTTTTTCCCTCGCCCCACCACTTTCTTCCTCTGCATTACATCAGTGCTGCATCAACACAATTTTTGATAGTATGATGTAACTGAGTTCAAACAGGAGAGAAACCTTTTTAAAATTAGAGTGCTTCTGGCAACAGATAAAGATAAAATCTGAACATATCCTGGAGTGACAGTATGTGAATATATATATAAACATTGGAGGTCCAAACTACCCACTCAGCTCCCATAGAAGGGAAGCAGGATGAATTAAATATAGAAGTGATCCATAGAAATGCTGCAGGAGTGGTCTGCTGTGGCACATGATTGCTTATTTAATACGGTCAACCAATAAATAGTGGGGGTTAGCTTGGTTAGGCTGGATCACATTTTTTACTGTTAAAACAATAAATGTTCTGAAATGAGAAATTATTGAGTTGGAAAAAATAGTCAATCGACAATATACTGTGTAATGACGCAAATATAACTATGTATATATATGAAAAAACCCAATATAAGCTCCTGAATTACTGAATTGTATAGTCTGGTTCTATCCTATAATTTTAAAGGGATTTAAAAAAAAAAAGTGTTTGTTTATTGCTGCGCAGGTAGAAGAGGAGAAATGTCCTGCAGCTGCTCAGTAAAAGTTGGCTTTTTTCTTTGTTTATAAGTAATATGCCACTTGGAAATCCATGTCCCTGTAAAGCCTCCAGCCTTTACCATCAGTGAAATGACCTCTGCATGGTTGCATATCTGAAAGATATTGAAAACATTTTTTCCTGCTCCTGCATTATCAGTGCTCATGTGGAGCACCACCTGAGACAGGCCTTTGCCTTTTTTTCCCCCCCTTTTTTTTTTTTGAAGGATGAAAAAGGCTTTTCCATAATGTGAACATAAAAACAGCTGTCTACAAAGCTCTGCTGAATGGCTGCAAGGAAAACCGACATGCAGTCTGTATATAAAACCATTACAGGCCTTTCATGCCAGATGCCTACAAGGCATTCTTGAAATTAGATGCAACAGCACGTTATAAAAGAACCCCACCAAAGTGAAGAGTCTTAGCTATATTGGCTAAGCCGTGTTATTTTGACTCAAAGACAAGACAATCCCATATGGCCGCTATGCCAGCGATGCACTCTACACTTGACAAGAATAACGTGCTATAATGAAGTTCATGCTAAAGAATCCATGAGAAAATGGGGTATTCAGCCTGCAAAACATCAGAGTCAACTATTCTGAGTCACAAAGAGCTTCAGTTGCTGGGCTAAAAAAAAAAATGCAAAGAAAATCAAAAGACAAGATTACTTTTAGAGCGCTCAATTCTACTTCAAACGGAGCTTTGCTGTAGTCTGACAGGCTGTCTCACACTGTCACATATCAGACTTATATAACAAGCTATCAAACAATTCATTGATAAAGAAAAGACGAACTCATGATGGAACACAATGAATAACAAACCCAACCAAAAAAAAAAAAAAAAAAATCCTATCTGTACCTCTGTCTGTCATCTGTCCGGCTATCAATCGATCAGTCCTGCTCTCATTTTCTCTAATGCATCCGCCCACCTCCAGTAGCATTCTGAACTAATTTAGTCCCCCAGATTAAAGTTACTGAAGTGAGGAATGCTGTTTGCAGGGCATACATCCTCTCCCTCCCTCTATTTCCTGGAGCTAGCGTGTGATGTGACAGCAGTGTATGAAGCCATGTTAATGGAAAACTTCATAGCATGCAGTGTTAGTTTTTATGTATGCACAAAAGCAAGGCAGAAAGTGGAAAAAAAGATGGGAAAAGAGAAAATGAAAAACGGTGTTGCAGATAGAGTGTATGTGTGTGTGTAGTCTGGGGTGATGAGATTGTCTCTCGCCTCCCTTGTTTTTTTTCTCTTAGTTTGTTGACAGTCTGTAGGAAAGTAGAGAAGTACCTAAAGTAACTCCAATGAAAATCCAGAGAATTAAAAAAAAATCTATATGCACTGCTTCTCATTTCAGTATTTGACCTTCTGTGGATTTTTATATTTTATATTATACTTTAGATCCTATTGTTAAACTTGACTAAACATCTACACCAGAAAAAGGCTCAGCCTCCTAATTGAACTTGGTTTGGTTTTAGGTTATTTAATCTAAAAAAAGAATAATGTACTCATGAATACACATTGATTAGTCTGTAATTATGTTCTCTAACAAAATGATACATTCACATAAAGTTTGGATTAACCCATTACATATACACTGGGTTGAGATGGCCAGGAAAAACAGCAGTGCCTACTGAAAGAAAACTTCAGGATATCTTTAACAACTCACCTCACTATTACTGTCACTGGACAGAAGTGACCTACACCGACTCATCGAACCATATCAGTGAGTAGATGTGAATGCTCGGGCTATTGATAGCTGAGGTTAACAGCATACTGACAACCTACACTCACTGCAGATGAACGGCAGCCAGAGGTTTGGAAGTGACTCAGCAGTAAAAATGTAAAATACAACAAAATATTTTATTTGTGGTTTATTCAAGTGTTAATATTCAAATATGTTAAAACATGCCGGCCAAAGCAGTTATCGAGTGCAGTCTAAATTTGACATTTCTAATCTCTCTTAGCTAACTAAAATGTGTTTGGCCTAAAGGGGCCACCGTAGTTAGGGTTATGGCTAGGTGCTTGAATTGGAAGAGGTAAAAAAAAACTGAATTCAAATGACTGCAATCTGTGATCTACTGACATCCAGTTGTGAGATTTTACACACTGTACCTTTAAGAGTACTGACGGAGACTTGCTTGAACATGGTCGACACTATCTGAAGAATAGAAACTAAATTGCTTCTACTTTTAAAATGAGGGTAAGTTCAATTTTAACTTTCTACAGAACGACTGCTAAATTTTAGTAATCATAAACTTCATAATGTAAGGGCCTTTTGTCTTTGTAGCTACTTAACAGCTTGTCAGTAACACACTGTTGTTGCTGTTGCTGTAGATGCTGCTGTGTGTCTGAAAACTATCCGTCCACTGCATATGAGTCAGTTCAGTCATGCAAACAAAATATTTTGTTCATTATAAGCATCGCACAATTCAGAACGCTGTAAGCTTCTATACAAGACTTTTCTGTTGTTGGGCTTCTTGTTTTACTATCTGCTTAAGACTTAGTGAATTATACATAGAGCTGTGTCTTATATTCAAACACAACAAGTACAGAAAACCAAATGTATTATGTAAATCTGCAAATCAAAACTGCAGATTCAACTTGGAATATTTTTGTCAAAATAGAACTTGGTGATATTATTTGCTTCTTGAACATTTCGACTAACCATGGAAACCGCGATCATTTTGGACATCACTACCGAGATATGAAATTTTCACATAGTACACAGTAGGCAAGTAGACAGGGATTTATACAGTACATGAATCGCTTTCTTTGCTCCATACTCATTACATCACTCCTCTCTAACGGTACTGTTCTTCATGCAGACAGAATACACCTAATTCACCACCACGGTGTTTCCATGGCGACTAGCCCACATTAATTTTCCAAGGTGAGCGGCCTTGTTGTGCTGGTTTTGTGTGTTTTCTATGCAGTATTTCACAGACGTGAGGCACACGGAAAGATTGAGCACTCAGCACAGTCAATGAAAAGTTGTCTTACCCATGAACTCGATCCCAAGTTCATCCGCTGTTCCATTCAAGGCGGGATAGCATGAGAAATGAGGGTGGGGAAAAGAGAGAGAGACAGAGCATAAAATAATTACAACATGATGCGCCTCAGTTTTTTTTTTCTCAGAATTCACCTTAGGGGTGAGACACTTGGTGCAACTACACGGTAGAGTTGGCTTTGCTGGCTTTTTCTAACACGGCTTCCTCTTTTGCACCAGGTAATGAGCCAGCCAGCCTCGGATGCTTGGAATGCTTTTCCGTGATACTCACACAGCTTGCAGTGGCTTTGATTGAAGCAAGAAAACAACGCAGATGTGGGGGCTGAGAGGATTAGAGGAAGGATCATGAAAATAAAGTTGGAAATGACATATCATGTGGCTTTATGTCATTGATGTTGCTTTGCACAGGCCTTTTATATTGATTTGAGCCTGAGGCATTGCAGTAATTGTCCTCTTCTGTCTCCAAGCATAGCTTTTCACTATTCACAATCTGGTTGCTTTAGGATGCGTCACTCTAACACACACACACGCTCAAATGCATGTGTACCCACACAATATGGTATAAGCTTGCACGTGTTTTTGGTCTTTTCTGCACAGGCGCACACTTTGACATTCACCCTCTCTTTCACTCTCCTCCAAAGACACACAGTCTTTCTTCATGCAGTTATGTCTTTTCCCACAATCCCAGCGCTGGGGAAAACAGATAAAAAGGAGCACTCGTGTTCTTTCCATCCTGGCAGTGCCCCCTTTTCATGTCACTGTAATGTAATCTTATTTAAATTAAAATGAAACCCTCACTAGTAATTGCTTTTCTGACAGAGGTGGTCTGAGTTTTAAATAGAAGATGGCTTGCCAAGCCCTGACAGATTATGTGTTGGAACCTCTAAAAAAATGTCTATAAAATAGGGGGAAAAAAGCATTTTGATTGTGCCACGGGAAAAATTCTGTCATTGCCATGGCTTTTATTTACGGAAAAATAAAAACACAGCGTGACAGGAGTGAGATCCAAGCATTTAGGTGAATGGATTAAAATAAACTGTGCTGCCTTATTAAGAGGTGGAATGTAAACGATTAAAAAACAGGACCCTCCCTACATTGCATAAAGGGAATGCTTCGGAGGGCATTTGGACTTGAAAATGGTATGATAAGTGCTTAAGTCAAATTATGCTATTTGCTCTAAGATTGCTTGACAGGTTCTTAATGAGCCTAAGGGATTTTCATGATCACAGAGATAACAAGAAAAAACAGCCTGGAAAAGCAGGTCTGAGATTCCCAAATTAATCAATGAACAAATGAGTTTATGTTTGTATTTAGACAGGCTGCAGGTGTCATTGTGTTGTTGTTGAGCAGAATGCAGGATCTGCATTTTCCTCCTGCAGCCTCGAGGATTATTTTACATGCCAACATTTATTATACGCTCCTTCTGAATCATAGTCAGTCTCATAGCAACCTTGCAAACCAATGATTAAACAGTTAAGAGCCAATCACTTCTGACTGGGGGACTTTATGCTTGTTGCCACAAAGAGTTCGGAGATATAACTGTGAAATCAAGATATGGCTACCACTTTTCTTACTTTTTTTTTTTTTTTTTACACTTTTCTGACTCGCCCTCCTTACAAAAAAAAATTTTAAAAAATGAATGCAGCATCTTTCTGACGTTACTTGATCTGTATTATACATTCAAGCCTTTTCCTGTGATTGTCCATGGCAACAGCCAACCCTTCTCCACTCTAAATCGCCCTGACTGTCATAGCCTGTGCAGATGATGTCATTACAACTCTGATACACATCCCTTCCTCTGGCATTGCCTTGTCTGGAGACATTCACCAATCATAATATGTGCAGGCTCCCAATCCTTCGCACTGGCAACTCGAAGCACCCGGGGGAATCATTCACGGCATCTTATGGGAGCCTTGAGCAAGCTTGGAGAATACCTGTGCATCATGTCAGATGCTTTTGGCCCGATTAAGAGGCAGGAATCTGGCTGGTGGGAGAGACAATGGCAGGAGTGAATCAAATCCTTAATCCCCTCCCTCACTTGGGTGAGAAGGGAACTGCAGAGTCAATATGTGTGTCTGTGTCTGTTATTGAATTCGATATCCTGTGTAGCTACTTACTCCAGGCATAATATCTACAGAAGATCAATAGTTCAAATTAGAGGATTGCCTCCTTCCTCTTTGTGAGTAAACCGGGTAAAAACCAAAAAGGCCCATCTTTCCTCCGCCTCCTCTTCAGTCTTCTACCGAAATATCCCCTCTGTAGTCTCAGAAGTGCAACTTGCCCAACTGAACACCATTAATGGGATGCTCTAAACTTTTTCATGGTTAAAAAAGAAACTCAATCCACATCCTCAAGCAGTTATAAACTAAATTGCTACCTTCCTACCCTGCCATCGCTCCACTTAAAGACTCCACCACTTCCCCTGTGCACCAATATGTTAAACTCCAGCATTATTTCCAAAGCTGAGTTCACTGCAGTACAGCTGGAGTGTTACAGAGAAGACTTAATTCTTTTAGTCCATGTGGTTCTGTCATGTGCAGGATGGACTTGGTTGTAGAAAAAAAATCAATATTGTGAATATTTTGAATAATAGCGAGATTACTTACTACTACATTTACTTTTTCTTTTTTTTTTTTACACTGGATTATTTTTCCTTTATCAATGTATATAATTTAAGTAATAAAAATAATTTTTAAAAAGTCCCTGTTAACTGTAGTCTCCATCATGGGAGTTTTGTGGGTGCAGACAGTGGCAACAACATGTCCACGAGGCAATTTTGTTATGTGACCTGACAGACCTGCACAAAAGTCACAAGCAGAGAGCGAGTGAGGGCTGAGTGACACAAGTGTATTCTGACTATTACTTCGTCTCAATAGATCTTGTTGACCCAAGACTCCTTTTTTCACCATGTTGCCTGGAACTGAATTAAACAATGAGCAGGTCTGGGCTTTCAGGGAGGGGCCACAGCACTATTGTGATAACGACTGACGCATGATAATCGCTTTATCTCAATTACCTTGTTTTCATAATCATTGGAGCCAAAAATCATAATTGAAATTAAAATTTGATTAAACTCTAACACGCCTTCGCCTGTGATTCTCTATCTACTTCTGTGAGGACGTGTGAATGAGTGAGTGACTGAGCGGCACTGTGGTCCAAACTGCTCTTTTGAGTATTTTACCAGTCGATACGAAGAAAAAGGATAAGGGGCAAGAAATGATTTGTGACTGTAAGGTGCTCAGATATTGATCCAAAATGAAAGCTGAAAGCAGAAAAGCGTGGCATGGCCCGGCAAAAAAACTACAGTTGCTTATTTGTACACACGCTGAATTTCATCAGCGCTTAAGATTTAGCTGTTGTTGGTATATGCATGTATGTTTGTGCTGTATGTTATTACGTGATTTGGATTTTGGAGGCAGGATAATCCTCCAAACCCTTGGTAATCTGGGTAAATTTTAGATGAGTGTGTATCAACACAGATCAAAACTAGGCTCCATTCCCCTCCGACTCTCAAATCTTCCTGTGTTATTGGTCACGGTCACTGGAAGCTGTTTTCTGTGGTTAACTGTTGTGGCCATTGAGAGGTTATGCAAGACAAATTCACAATAAAGCTGTCAGTTTCTTTTTTTTTCTTTTTCTTGTGAAGGTCAGGGGTGTACTCGGTGCACCGTCTTAACCTACTACTGAAGATTTCTTCAGTAGCTTGTTTGTACAGAGCATTTTATTGATTCTATTTTCCAGCACAAGAGAAGTATTCTGATTAAAAACGCTAAGCAATTTTTTGATTTTCCATACTCCCTGATATATAAAGCTCTTCCAGCACTCCTCTGATCATTTCTATTTGTAGATTGGAAGCCTCTGAACAGTGCATTCAGTGTGAGAAGGAAAAAAATAAAAAGGCTTTTGGCCCATTGTCCACATCTAATAAACATTGACGCCAGCTTGCTAATGGCTAATACATTTGTCTAAAGGGTTCACAAGATGAATGGGGGTGGACTGACCACCAGAAAGATCAGTAATTTTCCTGGTAGGTTAGTCTTTAGCTGATTAGCCCTTTATCTTGAACCTGCCATTAGCCTATTTACACTCAATGGCCACTTTTTTTTAGGTATATCTGTTCAACTGCTTGTCAACACAAATATCTAATCAGCCAATCAGGTGGCAGCAACTCATATAGGCATGTAGACGTGGTCAAGATGACCTGCTGAAGTTCAATCAGAACATCAGAATGGGGAAGGTGAGTTAAGTGACAGCATGGCTGTTGTGCCAAACTTGTTTGAGTATTTCAGAAACTGCTGATCTATTGGGATATTACCACACAACCATCTTTAGAGTTTACAGAGAATGGTCTGATAAAGAGAAACTTCCCACTGAGCGGCAACTTTTCTGGGTAAAAATGTCTCATTGATGCCAGAGGTCAGAGGAGAATGGCTGGACTGCTTCAAACTCAGACAACATTAAGTCAAATAACCACTCATTGTGACTAGAGTATGCTGAAGTAGATCTCTGAACACAAAACATATTGACCCTTGAAACAAATGGGCTAAAACAGCAGAAGACCGCACCGTAGCGCTCCTACTCCTCTTGTCATGTAAAAACAGGAAACAGAGGTTATAATTTGTGAAGGCTCACTAAAATTAGATGATACAGGACTGGAAAAACCTTGTCTGGTCTGATGAGTCTTGATGTTGGCTGCAACATTTGGATGAGAAAGTCGGAATTTGGCATAAACAACATAAAAGCTTCACGCTTGGATTAATCCTGCCTTGTATCAACAGCTCTGGCTGCTGTTGGTGTAAGGGGGAATATTTTCTTGACACACTTTGGGCCCCTCAGTATGATATGAGCCTCTTTTAAATGCTGCTGACAATGTTTATCTCTTTGTGACCACAGTCTTCTGATGGCTCTTTGCAGCAGAATGTCACAAACCTCAAATCATCTCAAACTGGTCTCTTGAACATTAAAAGAGACATGACATGAGTTCAGTGTACTCACACAGTTACCAGAGCTCAGTCTAACTTTGGGATGTGATAGAACAGGAGATTCACATCATGACTGAACAGCCTACAAATCTGCAGCAACTCTGTGACACTGTCATATCAATATGGAGCAAAATCTCAGAGGAATGTTTCGCACACCTTGTTGAATCAATGCCCCCACATTAGCATGCTATACCTAATAAAGTGGCCAGTGAGTGTAGCTTACAAATCAGGTCAACAGCTGGTGCAATCAAGCACAGCACAGACCTGAAAAAAAAAACTACTAAAAATGTTAGTAGTTATTATGAAAGCAGTCGTACAGCCAAACATGGAGGAGCATGTGGCTCGTGGTTCAGATATAGGAGAAACAAAATTGTGCCAAACCCTGCAACACGAGGTAATGGATTTATTTAAGTGATGGGGTGCAAGTGATGACAGTTGCAAGAGGCAATTTTCTCTTAAACTGCTCATCAGTCTTTTCCGCATTACAGCCTAGCATGTAATGCTAGGATACCTAGCCGACGATGTAAACAAACAGGTGAACGTGGCTCTGAACAAGAATGGTGATCAATCAGATCCATCGGCGGGGCCCTGTTCATGTCTGTCGTCTGTTTATGAAGTAACAACATCATTTATATGATCAGGTTGGACAAAAGTACCGTTCGCATTGCAAGAAATCAAACATTTCTATCAATGCAAGGCACTTTATCACAAATGTAATGAATGCACGTATTAGAGGTAAGTCAAATTAGATATGAATTAATTTACAACCTTTAAGCGATAAATATTTCTAAACTGTATTTTTGACAGAATTGTTGATAAATATTTTGCTGATTTCATAAAAATCCAAATGTGGTCATTTGTGTGAGCTTAATTTTGTGTTATCAGATGGAGGAAGTTCTCTAGGTTGCTTATTGTTGCTGGTTGACTCCTGACTGAATGACACAGTGAAACTGTTACAGTAAGGGCAGCAACTCCTTAACAGCTTAACAGCTCAGGGATTGCTTCTACAGCCTGGGAGATCCTTGCTCTGAAGTGTTGTGCTTCCCTCATGCTAATTAAACTGATTTATAGGTCTACCTATAGCCACTGTAAAAGATGCTCGCCCCTGAAATGCAAGTTTTTGTCTTCTGAACGATACGGTGTAAAAACTTCACCTTTTTGTTTCATATTTTGCCTTCTGAGGCATATTGTCTTATATATTTCAATAAATCTACAAGTACCACGGCTGTGTTGTAATTCACTGGTTTGTTTGAGAGTCCGTTTTTATCCAAAGCACAGTAGAATTCGGCTTATTTTAAATAGCATCATAAAAATCTCTTGAGCTGGACACGCTGGAAAATTAATGTCTGCCTATAGAACATAAAACAAATCCCAGTGTGAAAACTGTGTGCCATGCGAGAGCATAAAACAAGCTTTGTGACACTGGCTTGTGACTCCATTAATGGACTCTCAGCGGGCCTGATGGAATCAAACAGACGGCAATAGGAGTTAAGTTTTCTCTTTGACTCTTGGTGCGGAGGAGACGAGTCACTCCATAAAACAGTGTGAATTTGTAAAACTGCACTCTCACGGGAACGGCTCTGGGCCTCCAGTTTTTCTTCTTTGTACCTGTGACTTTTGCTTTTTTTTTTTTTTTTAAGTACACCACACAGCTGTCATCACTTTAGGGGAACAGTTTTTCACGAACACCAGGAAAGTGAATACTTTCCTTCCTTTAGGCTAAATAAAAGCATGATTATAAAACATGCAAGGGATTTTTCATGCATCTATATGAGGGACATTCATGTAGGCCAATGAAAATAAATCTATCGGGATACACATTTTACCCGGTAACTAAATAATATCTTTGACTGCAGTAATAACTGCTTGCATTAATATTTAAATGAAAACCCCCACGTTTGACACAATATCCAATGTGTGATCACCTCTGTAGATATAGTAGGAGATATTAAAGTAAATGAAAAAAAAATCTTTTCTTTATTGAATGAATTCAGTGCCGTAATACCCTTGCTTTTTTATTTTCAATGCACACGTAGCAGAAAAACTTTAGCATGAATCTTAACCTTTTACCCCGCTAAGCTGAACATTTTTCTTTGACCACCTTTGTCAACTTAAGGAGCGCCTGGAGGTTCTCTGCATTTGTATACTTCAAAATGACTGAACCATATTGGAAATGTTAGTTTTTTCAATATAAAGTCCCACACAATACTTTAATCACATAGTATTACTGTACAAGACCAACAGACTTAAACAGATAACAGTTAATCTAAGGCTAATTTGTCTTACTGATAAATATAGTACAGTAAGAGATTTGCTCAAGGGCATGTAGCGTACACTTGTTATGAATTTGTTTTTATGTTTCAGATCAATACACCAAGACTAAAAAATAAAGGGTAGAATAGGGAGCGTACTTGGATCTGACAAGATAGCATCTGTCTTGGGAACAAACTGGTCACAGCGTAGTCCATGGTAGCCCTCTTTACACCTGTCAGAGAGAGAGGGAAAAAAAGAGACACGAGCGAGGTTTGAGATTAGAGGCAAGACAAACAGAGCAAAAAGTACCAGCATGAACTATCAGCTGAAGGGACTTTTAGATAAAGAAAGTTGAAAACAGGAAGAGCCTAGACAGATGAATGAATGGATTGCTAAAAAAAAAAAGTGGAGTGGAGTGCTCGCTAAGGACCGAGGTGGTCAAGGGAGATACACAGCAACTGTGGAGAGGGGTGGAGTGAGGACAGAGACAGAGAGGGGAAGATAGTTGGGCAGGCCCAAGAAGTGCCTGCAGTCTCACTGATAGCACATGACTGGCAGGAATGCCACGTCCCAGAGGAAGAAAATGGGATACTGGGAGTGGATAGTACTTGGCATGGATGCAGCAATGCAAGATTTTCAAGGGAAGGGAAGCTGCCATAGTTTGAACAATCATATAAACAAAGTCCTGGCATGGTCCAAATATTTACCTTCATCATCAAATAAATATGCCTCTACTGCTGATTCCTGCAGATCCTTGAGCAACTCTTATATATACCTACTAAAATTATGACAGTTGATGACTGATTGGGGATATTTAGCAATACAAATATCAATTTTACTTTATTGGCCAAATCGGACTTGTACAATGCACAAATGAATGAATGAAAACATACATATAGTTTCATAATTAAAAAAAAAAAAGCGTGACAAACTATATTCATCAAGTTTTTCAAAACAACTCATAGTTATGAGGAACCAAGTTTGGCACAATCCTCAATAGCTTTTGTCTCCAAGAGACTTAAACACTTTTATTTCTGTCTTCAATAGTGGCCACAGTGCGAGGACATTCAGTAGGCTGATCAATCCCTCTGCTCTTTCAAAGATTAGGTGAGACAATTGGAGGATTTGCTTTGATGTGCCGTTTCGACATAAACTTGTACATGAGCGAGGGACATGTCAGAGTTGTCTATACTTTCGCCATTCCATCATTCGGTGCTTTATTGTTGGTAGACGATGGGGGATTAACACCACCACAATATCCATCAATATCTGTCCACCATGTTTCCAGCAGTGCCAAACAACCCCACCCAGCAGCACTGTCCACCACCCACCACCCCAATGCAGTTTAATGCATTGGATGAGTGACACGCAGAAGTGGACCATTCAGTCTCTCTTAGCTTGGCTTGAAATAAATTAATAAATAAATAAAAAGAAAAAGTGAACCATATTTTTGAAGAAAAAAAAAAGAGTAAGCAGCAATGGAAATGGGAAAGTCAGAAAAATTGTTATAAGGTTGTAAAAAATTCCTCTGTTTTTAGGTCTTTGGTGGACGTTTATACTCCATAACTCAGCTCAATAGGTGCAGTTTTCCATCTTTATGTAAATGCTTCTACATGGTAATGTTTATTTTGTAGCCAAATTATTGAATCTGCACCGATTTGGTGAGTCTGCAAAAAGGCCAGTGAAATTTCTGCATAAGTTTAGGACACAGAAAATAAGAAGCAGTGTTTTGCAAAACGTTATTTTATATGTATTTTGAAAATAGCACAAAAACAGTATATCAAATGCTGAAAACATTCATTTGAATTTCTAAAAGCTGTGTCTGAGGCATATTTATGCGTCTTTCTAATGCAAAATATTTCCCTATTCTTGCTTGATGTAAAATTTCAGCTTTTCAATACTTCAGGGCTTTCTTTGTCATATTTCTTATTTCAGTGAAAGCGGTGTTTTCAACAGGTGGCAGGTCTGCACCTGGATTCAACTAAAGTACAGAGCCATTTGTCATGGTTCTGGGATTTTGAAATCTAAGCTTTAGTTTGTTGGGACTAGGTTATTGTTAAATTCTCTCGTTGATTATAGTTGTCTAATTTTGCTGTTCTTATAGCTGTTTTTTTTTCTTTTCACTTCTGTCAGCCTAATATGGTTTATCATTTCTAGTCACTTCCCGTTCTTTATATTCTAGTTTGTATTTGTATTCTGTATCTTCATTTTGCATTAGGTTCATGGTCATAATGTTTAGTCCTTAGTTGTTGTTGCTTTGTATTTTTTGTTATTCATGCTAGCTTCATCGCTTTAATGTCTCCTTGTATCTTGTTGTCAAGTCTTTGTCTTGGTGTCATATTACTTCCTGTTTTATGCTGATAGCCATATGTCTCTTGGGCCATGTTTTACGTTCTCCTACCAATGTTTCATTATCTGATTAAGTCCAGCTGTGTCTAGTTTCCCAGGCGTCTCCATTCTGCCCCAGTCACCCTTATGTTTATAAACGTTGCTGTCTCCCTTTGTCAGATTGCCTGTGTTCCAAACTTGTTTTGTTCTCTCTGTTTGCTAAGCCTTATGTGCTTTTGCTTAAGCCTTTTGAACCCTGCAGTTGATTTTCTGTTTTGGACCTCCAAAGTCTTACTACTCAACCTGAATAAAGGCTGATTTTCTGTTTATCATGTTCTAGATCAGCAGCCTGCATTTGGGTCCTTTTCTGCACCGCATGACACTATGCTGTTGCAAATGTGTACCACTCAGCATTATTGGGGCCTTGCTGTGTGCACTAATCTGATCTAGCTATCGAGCTGTTTACTGTTAACAAGAAAACATGTATATGAGAGCCTAGTTTAATTTTCTTTTAGGGGTGCATCATTCATGATTTCCAAAAATTGTTTTTATATTTTTATTCATGAGATCATGGGGCAGTTTTCTGCTTCACCTCAGTTCATCTTTACCAACCTCTGGCCCAGTTTTGTCTTAACATATGCTTGTTTCTGTGCACGGTAGAGACAAGTATCCACTTGCATGTGAAGACAGAAGGTGGCATTGGATTTCAGAAGTGGTTCTAGAGCCCATGCATTGATTTCTACCACAGAATTGTGTTTTGTTTTAATGCATTGCAGCCTGGAGGTATACAGATGATGGCTATTCAATACTGGTCTTCGGTCTTGACCTCTGCGTACCAGGATCGACATAAAATTCTATATTGTTTATTTTTATTTTATTACATTTCATTTTCAATTCAGACTTTAATGATTTTAAATTTTCATCACAGTTTGTTTTTATTGTTTTTTTGCACATCATCTCAACTATTTTTGGGAACTCCTTTTTGGGTTTGGTTTGCTGTCCACTAAATTTATCTGTAATTGTTGCTTTATGTGAATGAGCTAATTGCTAAAGGTTTTAATCTGTCGTTTGCAGTCCGGACATCTGTAACTGTTCAACTTTTTTGCATATTGTGTGCACTGACAGATGCCCTGATAAATTGATCTTCACTACAAACCACCCCTTTCACATCAAAGTTATTATTATGCTAAGTTGCACTGAAATGTATAAAAACATCTTGAATTATGGGGGTTGTCAAAAGTGAGTTTGAAAAGCTTTTGACATCTGTGTTGCCTTCATAACAAACAACATCGCTGTCAAGCTGCAAGGTAAGATCGTTGAAAGGGCCATTTTGGTGTTATGTGGCAGTAAAAACCTCTCTAACTGCACCTTTAAATAGCGAGACTCATTACCGTTCAAATGATGTGTGAAAAATACCCTTGAATTAAACCCTCTAAATCTTAAAACTCTGACTCTTTGTGTCATTTCATTTCCAGAGTAATAAGCAAAACACACAAAACCTCTATAGTCCTCTGCTCAAGAAACCAAAGGAGGATGAAGGACTCCATTCTCTCTTGTCATTGTCTCTCCTACAGCCAGACTCCTGCCTCTTAATCAGCCTGAAAAATGACTAATTCAAAACTGAGGATTCTCCAAACTCTGCAAATCTTTTTTTCATACAAATATACACAACTACATAAAGATTCTCGCAGCGTGGCTCACGGCCCTATCAATACCCTGCACTTGCACTAAACATCTGAAACATCGAATATATTAGGCAAAAACCACAGCAGAAATGCTTGTATAACTCCCAAGAACATTTTAGGGAAGAACTATTCCGTGATAGATAACTAGATGCAAAAATGTTTGTGGTGAAGAGCATCAGGTGGATTCTTACAATCATCATCTACTCACTATGCATTTTAGGAGACAAAAGAGACAAAAGCCAACCTAATTTAAGTGATCGCAAATGAAAGCTTTGAGAAATCATATTAAATCCAACACCCATCTAAAAATTATCATTAATCACCATAGAGATAGACTATTAAATCTGATTGAACGTTTTACAGTGAAAATGGAATATGCAAAAGAACATGCCATGCGATGCGTAAAGCAGCAGTCCAAATGACTGATGCAAACAGCTTAGATTTATTACCACATTAAAGCAGCTCGGTATGTGAGGTTTGCAATGAGAAGGGCGTGGACACGAAATGTTATTTTGCATCAAATGTTAATGTGACGTTTCCATTACCTTTATGTTAAGAACTTATTAAACACATACCAAAGGAAATGAACCCACTCTCACTCCAACAGCGTCAAATATGACACTTTTCAAAGCCGCTTGTGTAAAAAAAATATGCACAATGCATCCAGTGACACTGGTGCTGTGACTCAATAGCTAATAGTAATCTTCCTGAAACGCTGCGTAGGGGAATTTGTGAAGGACCCTTTAGCATTACATTAAAAATGCAAAGGGTGCCTTTAAGTGTGCGAGGGTTAATGCTTTGAATGGATGCATTTTAACCTAATCCATGATCTTTTCTTAAATGAAATTGTTTTGTTGCATAAACCAAACAGCCAATAAAAGCAAAACTAAACAGAACTGTCATTCGCACTACAGCTATTCCCTTCTACTCCTTTCTCTGGACCTTGTCGCTTCATCAAACAGACCATTAGCTCCAATATTAGTCCAATATTGCTGCGAGTGCTGGATCAAGGAACTATGAGAAACGCTTCCTCTCTCCAACGCCAACGCCTTTTGATAAAATGACAGATTGTGGCACATTTTTAGCAGCCAAAAAGAAACTTAGAGAATAGCTACGTTCTTGATTTCCTTGTTTAGGTGTGAGAGATATGCACTGTCCTTTTGTTTTTGTCAGTATGGCAATCTCAGTCAAACAATGATGTTCATAGAGGGACCTGAGA